AAAATATTTGCAATTGGATTTCCTTATTTTAATCCCCATTTTTGATTAATTTCTTCTCTAGCTAGCAACATCAGTCCCAGACTAGAGAGTACTGAATCCCCTGAGGAAGTTGTCCAAGGTATCACTTTCACCTGAAGCAGTTTATTATCAAAAGAAGAACAAAATCTTAAGGCAAAGCATTTCTTGTCCCCAATTCCATATCTAAAAAGATCTGTAAATTTGGTATCACCACCTTCTTCTCCAATCCCCCCAACCTAAGGCACAAAATCCTTAAGTCCCCACCAATTACGATAACTTATCCAAAACTACAAAGAAACTCTTTGCCTCAAGATTTTGTTCTTTTGATAAAGGTATCACTGTTGCAACACATCAACGTTTTAAGATTAGATCTTGTTACATGGAGGTATAGAAAAAAAAAACAGTGTACAATAACTTGAATTTGAGATTGAATCTTTTGGTATGCCATTTTTCTTTTCCAATCGTTATTTTATTAGTCTGTTTTTAAATACCCAACCATTCCAGTTGTATGGAACCCAAACAGGGTTTTGGAATCTTGTAATTTCAAGAATGGAAATTCTTTCTGCATGTGTAGCTGCTATGTGGTGTTATAGAGTATCAACCCCTATTCACACCATGATGGCTTGTATCTATACGGTGTAATCAGGATATGTCTGGCTACATGAGACTGTGTTGAGACTTCCAACCTTTGGTTGGAATGGGTGGGTGGGTGGAGCAGGCCGACATTATTGATCTCCACGGACCTTTTAACATTTTGTCCGCTGCCAAGTCCCACGTATTGATCATTCTGTCGGTCCGGTGGTGTCTATTTTGAACCTGGATCCCTGCCCACAACCTTGGGACTTTCTTCTCTCTATTGTGTCATTGTAGAAATTACCATGGCTCTCCCATGGTTTTATATATATTGGTGTTTGCTTTTACATTTCTGCTCTACACAGTAGAAACTCTTCTCTAAAGAACACTTGTTTTTGGTGTTTCTTATCCCCTTATGTAGAGATTACACTATGAGTTCATGCTTATGCCTCTCCTAAAAGGTCCTGTTTAGTGCATCTAATGCAAGCCAAAATATGTTCTGGAGCTGCAGGTGCCGAGCTACATTTTGGGCAAGTGGGATAGCTTTTGTTCTGAAGAGCACTTAATTCTAAAAACAAAGTTCTAAACCTAGTTCCAAGCGGCGATTTCTTAAAGAATATTCACACAACCCAAGTTTTTGAAATCGGCACAAGGAAAACTTTTGCCATCCTTCACAAGAATAAATTTCCTCTGTAACTGACAGTACGAATTTGGCACAAGTTCAACTTTTCTCAAGCAATTGAAGATGGAAAATTATAATTAAAATCTACCCCACTTTCCTAAAATGTAGCTTGGCACCTGTGCAGCTCCAGAACTCATTTTGGCTTGCATTAGACACACTAAACAGGACCTTTGGGAGAGGCTTCTGCTGATCATTGAACAGCCCAAAGGGATAAGAAACAACTATATAGTCTACTCCAAACTGCATTGCCTTGTGTATTTTACAAAGTAAGACTAACTATTGTCAATTATCTGTAGCAATGCAGCTGGCGAAATGTCATCTCTAATATACAGTAGAACCTCCCTGTAAAGGACACCTAATTGCAGAGTCAGTGTCCTTTAGGGAGAGGTGTTCTCTACTAGAAAGTTTCTAAATAGTAAAAATGGTAATTTTGCAAATGAAAACTGTCCTATATAGAGAGGTATCTTCTAGCATGGGCGTGTCCTTTCATGGAGGTTTTACTGTACTTAATTACATTTTTTTTTCTTTCAATTTTTACATTCTATAACGGCTCCTAATTGGTCTGTTTCACCCAATGTGTCCCCAATGAGGTACATATGTAAATACAGTACAAACCTCTTTAATTCAACACCTACTTTGATTCGACTGAAAATTGTGATACCTTGGAGGGTGTTGAATTAAAGAAGTTTGACTGTATGTGTGTGCGTGGTTGGGATTTCAGGATAAGCACATAATGGAGGTCCGGCGGCAACTCTCGGAACAGATGGATAACAAGCGGAACCTGATCAACAAGAAACTGGAGGATGCTCAGTCCAAGCGGGAGCTTATCCTGAAGGAGATTCAGGAGAAAATCCATGAGCATGTGAGCACCGTGTGTGCATGACACAACCTGTACTGTAATAATCGGGAGAGGTCTGGGTGGTTCTGGGGCAAAACTACACTCATGGACAAAACTTAAGGAAGTTGTACCTTTTAGCATGTAAATCAGGATTCAGACAATACCTATGAAAGATATTTAATACATAGCGACCTTTATATTATGATGTATATGCGCACCATCTGTTACGAAAATTCGAA